ATGAAATTTGTGGGTGTATGAGAAAGATATAATGGGGAGTGGCGACACTGCAGACTTTTAATTTCCCCTTAAAATCATACCAGTATGTGTTTGGTGTACAATCAGATTAGGTGAACTGAACTCTGAATTGAGAGTTAGAAAGTGAGTTTGTGGGTTTGAACACGATTAAATGTGTATGAATTTGTGTTGCGAGTGTGAGTGATCAAGCAAACATGCGCAAGTTCGCCTCTGGATTAGCAAGGCAAAATGGGTGTAAATACAGCAGGAGTGGAGTCAGCAGCAGGAGCAGACATGATGCGCACGGTGCACAGAAAAGAGACCGCGTCTTAAGGAGCTTAAATGGAAGAAAAATATAAGATATGAGGCGTGAGGGAGTGAAGGAAAAAAATGATGGGGATAAAGGGAAAGAAGCAGGGGCTGGAAAGACTGAAGGGAGTGCAGAGAGGAGAGCGTCAGAGAGCAGTGGAGAGCTGGTGGGGGGGCAGTGTCACTGTGCTATGACTTGCCTGCTCCAAAACAGGAATTAATCCAATAATCGCTTGGAAATGTTTTGCATATTTCTCCATTCTTCTCATCTACATAACAGTCCATCATCTGGAACAAGCATGCATGAGACCTGTCAAGACTCTCTCACACACACACACACACACACACACACACACACACAAGCAATGACAAATTCCATTGCTGTAGGGGTTAGTGCACATGGCGCCGCAGTCTTTAAGTTTATCTGCCGCTTATGTTGAGCATCACTTTAAGCGTCAAGAATGTCAGCAGCTCTGCTATAGGGTTTGCCGACATGTCAGCTCGTCAGTGCTTGACGTGAAAGCAAGCCCTCAAGGACCTATGAGTCGGTAAATTAACTGTCAGTAGTGCAAAGGAGAAGAGAATGAAGACTTCTTATTCTTGTGATGTGATCTATTTATCCCCATTTCTCAAATTCCTTATGTCTGTCTTGTTTCTTCTTCATGTGCTCCTTGCCATCTCTTTCTTCAGGATACTATACCACTTAATTTTATTCAGGTGTTTGTCTTTAATCAAACAATGACTACTGTGGGAGCTTTAGGGGCTGGGGACCAAATGAGTTAAACACAGACACATGGATACCAGCACTGTAAGGTGACTCTACTGCACAAACATGTCACAAGCAATGGCACCAAATACGAATACAATAGAAAACAACACCATCAGGCAAAATTACAGATGTGAATGATCTAGACTTTATGGTGTGATGACCATGTTACTAAAAGGCAGACACCTTTAGCAGTCATATGAATGAACAAAATAATAATTCAGTGGGGGAAAAAACACTGAAAGCCTGACATAATTAACCTTCTAATGCAGCTTAGCAAAACCTACAGTAGTCCAGTGGTCAAAACCTGTGCACTGTCATTATTACAGGAGCAGTTTGAGAGTTTTTTGCATTTATTTTTCATTTCTTTTTGCCTTGAGTTAGATGAGAAGACTGGAAATGGGGAAAAACAGTTGGCTTGGTTCTGTCCAAAGCTAACAAAATCTACCTACCAGCGCCGCTAAATCTCACAATTTCTATCAAGAAATAACTGATGTTTCACTACAAAAAATAATGTGCTCAATACGTGCACCATCTCCTTTGCATCTTTGAAGTTAAGTGCAAATAACTTGAATGTAAACACAAGGTTAAGGTGTGAGCAGTTAAAGAACCATGGGTCATGCATTTCACCTCCAGTGTTTAAAAAAACTTCAGCTTTGCTATTTTTCACCTTTGAGGGTTCCATCACATATTTAAGTCCAAATTTCTGTCCTGAGAGCGCACAATGTGCTTCAGCCTTTTGAATTTTGTCTGGGCAGGGTTTGAAGCAGCATATTAGGCAGCCACAGAATGTACCTAAATGACGCTCTAATGAGCTAACAATAGAGACTCCCAAATCAGCAGGTGATAAGATACTCACTGCTACAGCAGAATGCATCTTAGCTGGAAGTAATTGCAGTGAATTTGATTGTGTGAAAACTAAGAAAATCCTAAAGCGCAGTACATTTAAGCTACCGTCTTTCATGCAGATCAAAGTAAAAACATATTGGCGAGGTCAGCCAATTATAAAACACAAATGTCTTTGTTTCTGAGTAAAGAACTCTGCGTAACAGCTGCCTGGGGAATCAAGTCACATCCCTGCAGTTTCAGCTGTGCCACATTCTGTCTTTTACAGTGCTGGCACCTGTTGAAATTTTCACTCCTGAAATATCCACCCTTCTTGCCAAAGGGAAGCTTACCTTTCCCTTAATGTGTGAGAAATCATTTAGTGACAGTGCAGCTTCCAGAAGAAACCATGTGAAGGGTAATCCAGAGGTCAAACATTAAATGGAGTGAGGCGAGGGCCAAACTGAGGCAATTAAGTGCATTAATTCCGTGGTATTGACTAGTGGCCAATAAGAAGAGTTGACTGGGTCATTGCAGAAGACCAGTCAATAACATTAGGTACACATGACTGAAAACTAAACCAAGCATGTTTCAAAGATTTACACAAAAAGAAACAAAAGAAACGGAGAACCCACACCCCTGCTTGACCTACTGTACATCAGACATGATTAGCTATGCACAAATAGGAAGATTATAAGTTATAGTCACTGGAGGGCTGAGCTGGAGCTTGGGCTGGTACTGGTCTCCTCCCAGATTTGGTGTAGACTGGAAAGTTCAAAGTTAGGAAAGTTCAAAGCCCTGGCTGAGGAATGTTCAAAAGAACCACAGCCAGCTATGAAGAGGGGAGGAAAGCAGAGGAGAGCTAGCTACTTAAAGTCTCTCACAATCAGTAGAGAAACTCCATGCTCGTGTGGGTTAAGCTAACGAGACGTGGAACTTCGCTGACACGTCAGCGCAAAACTGAAAGCGAGAGCCAAAGTTTTAGTGGCACAAATCATCAATAATACAGAATGTGGAATTACATTTTCACTGAAATAAAACTGACATTCTATGCCTCTGAGCACATCACTGCTGTTGTTGTGTTCACCTTAGAGACCCAGTGTGATGGATTTTTGTTGCACATGAAATGTTAACAATGTCTCTTGAAACAGTGCTAACATATTTTTACACCCACACTTTTGTACTCAAGAGTGACACAAATGCACACCGCTATTTCTTTGTGAAATACATCAATGCACAAAACTACTTTCACAGGATTCCATGTCTCTTTGTGTGCAACACAATACCATTCATTTGACATAATCAAACCACAGCAACACCCTCGCACCCTGGGGACAGAAAACATCAGTGGAATTTCCTTAATCTAGGTGACTTCAGATACCTACTGTATAAACACAAAGGATTATGTCTCCAAGTAGGAGATTAACTTAACAAAAAGTATTTAATCTTCATAATAATATAATATATTGAGCAGCCTATGTAGTGCTTCTTTCTTTTGCTGTGCAAAGACACAGAGCATCTGTAAATTTCAGGGAAGCAGTAGTGAAGTCATATCTATCAGACAACAGGGAAAATATTGAGCATGAATGTGTGTTTAAAATGCTGGCCGGTAATATGTGAATTTTAGTACCAAGATAAACATGCACACAATAAGAGATTTTGTGCTTTTACAGTACTTTTGATGTTGCCATCTGTTCAGACACAGCAATACAGAAAACAAATATAAATAAGAAGCATTTGCTACTAAGACTGCTATTATTATCTGCAAGTATACTCATTTTGCTGAACCACTGTCAGTGGAGGGACCACCTCTCTGGTACGAGGGGTCAGTGTGTTAAAACGTAGCTCCCTCTCCCAGTTTCTTCTACAGACTCTAGGATCACTTGATTTATTTTTGCCAATAATAAACTCAACTCAACTCCAAGGACTAAATAAGAAGAAAATCAGTCTTAAAATTTTGTCCCCATTTTTCAGTGATTAATAACAAACTACACGATTCTTTCCAGAAAACTTTTAAGAAATTATTAGGAAACAGCAGACCTATAAAAGTATCCGCATCAGAACTGTTAATAATGGCTTGGCCAAATCGCCCGCCCCTATCTGGTACACAGAATTATTCTGTTAATTGGCATATTTCAGCAATGAGGATGCTCATTTGCAGGGGTACATGAAAAAAAGTTTTACCTTAATAATTCTATGCCAGTGAAAAAAACTCCTCTTATAGTTGAATCTTACTCACTGAAGCAATTCAAAAATAATAATCCAATTTAAATATTTGATACATTTCTATACTGCATGCTAATGTACAACTGGAGTGCAAAATTTGGTGACAAAGTTTCATTTCCAGTGTTTTTGGAAAAATGATGTATATAGAGGTAAATACACAAGAAGACAGACACGTTTTATATGTATTAAAGCTGTGTCCGTATAGTCCACACAAACTCAGGCAAAGTTCTAGGCTAGTTGATGCACCTGGCTGCTTTGGTGCTTTAGTTTTGGAATTAACTCCAGCTATTTGCTCTCTCTGTTGTTTTTTACTGACTCAGCAGTCCTGGTCTTTACACGGATCCTACGAAAGCTCAGTGGCCACAGGGAATGCCAGCTCATCGACTAATATAATGACGGCCTCCCTACTGCTCTCCACCTCACTCTGCCTTTCCTCACCAGCACACCATCCCAATTGTCTCTCTCTCTCTCTTTCTGTTTGCAATCTGTTTTTCTGTCCTTCTTGCTGAACAAAGGTTGTTGTGAGTGAAAATGATGCAATTGTGTCAGTACTGAAAGTTCACAGTCAACAAAAACACACAGAATGAACATCCCCAAGGCAGGAATGGATGGATTAAAGATTTTGCTGCTGGGAAAACTGCAAACAAAGATATCACAGTGAATGCTGCTATGTATGAAAACTCTTTCTTAGGATGGGATCGGCTTCGGTGCTCAGCAGTAAATCATCATGATTCTGTTTTAATCAAATCCTGTTTCAGCTGTGACTTACCTTGCCTCACTAGCATGGAAGTCAAAGAGGAAAACAATCGAGGAGATGCACAGAAATTGTTGTTGATACTGCATGCTTTGTAAACTGGAAAGAACACCAAATACTAACCTTGAGCTTGTCAAAGCGCTCAGTGAGTGAGGACACCTGGTGGTCTCGGTGGCGACCCACCAGCTTGCAGAGAGCGCAGATGAGCTGGTCATCCACCAAGCAGTACATGTTCACCTTCTCATTCTCGTGCTCCAGACAGGTCAGGCTGCGGATGTGAGTGTCTGGCACCGGCTCCACCAGGCGGTGGCTGGTGAATGGCTTCTTGTTAGGGTGGGTTGCACGCAGGCAGCGGTCACAGTATGATACCTCACATGTGACACATGTCTTGACAGCCTCACGGGGCGGATCCTGCTCGCAGAACTGGCAGGTGATGCGTGGATCCATTTTAGCAACAACAGCTGGGCTGTGGTTAGCGTTGGTGTGGTTGATGTGATTGGTGTGGTTGGCGTGCGGGTGGGAGTGGCTGGAAGTGGCCGGGCTGCCACGGGCGCTGCTTCCACTTGTGCCACCACCGCTGCCAATTGTTCCTGCTATTGTACCGCTAATGGTGGCGGTGTAGGGCCGCTGCGGCTGCAGGCGCCGGCTTTCAGTAGGGGAGTTGGGGCTGCTAAGGGAGGCCTTTTGAAAGCGGTCAATGATGTTCTGCAGCGTCACATTGCGCTTAAGGCCTTCCAGACCGCAGTGATTCAGTGTGATGACGTAACGACAGGTGGGGCACTGAAAGGCTGAGATGGACTCAAGGGGCTTGCTGGTGGAACAGTGGGATACCAGGATGCGATGGGCACAGTTAAAGCACAAGCTGTGGGCACAGGGCAAGAGCAGAGGGTCTTCAAACAACTCCAGGCAGATCGGGCAGGTCAGCTCAGACTCCAGTGTTTCCATCTTCAGTTGAACCAATCTAAAGGTGACATCAAATCCCACAGAAGCTGGCCAGTTACCTGCATGAAAAAGAAACAGATATGCATGACTGCTGCAGTTACAAATTAAATAAGCTAAATCTAATCAGAACATTGGCTTTGCAATACTTTGGTTCTTTTTACTGAACAGAACAGCAGAAAGTGTACACAAATCATCAATCTGCCCATTCATTCATTTCTTGTTTTAGCAGAACCAGTATTGGCTTAAAGATGGAAAGACCTGTGCAAATGCAGCTAGAACATCACAAAAGCACACAGACACTTAGTATAGAAAGGATCCCGTCTTTGCAGCCTTTAAAATGATTCTTCTGGCAGAGTCATGAGAAGAAGAGGAGTGACTGAATGAACAGGGAGGAAAAGGACAGAGGTTGGTTCATTGCAGGGGAGGAGTAAAAATCAATGGATTAGCAGAGAAAAGAGCGACAGATGCATAGCAGCTCTTGAGGACAGAAATAGGAACTTGTAACACCCTGACAGACTCTTGACCATATGGTTTTTAACTCTTCATTCTCCCTCAGACATTGCATTTACATCTTTTTTTTTCCTGGCTCACCATGGCCTATTTTTTATAGCTTTTATGTTAGATCAGCTTATGTTATCATGCATTAAACACAACACATTGCCCCAAAACTATTTCAATATGGATACTGAACACTTAAGCAGGAGAACTGATTTCAAATCCTCTCCCGCTTTATCCAAGCCCTCCAAATCTCACCACCTTGAAGCCTGCACATCAAGCTGTTTCCCCCTGGGTGGCTCTAAAACCACTGACATGAGAAATCACCAGTAACCCCCCCATCTGTGCTGATTCATTGGCATCGGAGCATGGCCGAGAGCCACTGATGACTCTCTATCATTTTAAGAAAACAAAGCAAGCACCGTGAAACTACAGCATTAAACCAGACAGCCCCAGATAGCTGACAGTGATAATTTCGCTAGGTGAAGTCAATCCTGAAAGACTGCCCTCGTCTCGCTCCGTGCCAGTCATACAGAATCTACTGATGAGTGAGTTTTAGTGGTTATGACTAATCAAAGAGTACTTTTCACCTTTGGGGCTGGGTTTAAACTCATGTCAGTGACTTATCTGAAGCTTAAGTTAACATACATACATAGAGAGATTTAAACAACATTTAACTCACAGGTGATCAATAAGATAACACAAGTCAAAGTGAGGAAGTGCTGAGCATGAAAAGGTTGAGCATGAGCCTCCACAGTAGGTTTATCTAGTAAGGCAGCATTTAGACACAGCCTATTCACAAAGACCTCTTTCACATTATTCTGTCCCTTTTCAAGACAGTGTTGTGTCCAAAATAGGCAAAGATTTTTGAAAGCCTATGAGATCGTGTTCAATGTGTCTTTCACAAAGACTGTTGTTGGTAAATTGTGTCAGAAACTTGTTTTTTTTATGTAGAAATAAATTTAACTTTGCTTTGAGCTGCAGAAAAATGACTGTTGAAGCAATATTCCTCTCAGTTCTGGATTATGGGGGTGTTGTATATCAACACACTGCTGTTTCCACCTTGAGGCCCTTAGATTCTATGCACCATTCTGCTCTTAGATTTATTACTGGAGATAATTATAACATGCATCATTGCATTTTTAATAATAAAGTTGGTTGGCCCTCCTTGTCTGACAGACGTCAAAATCATTGGTACATATTTATTTCCGTGGCCTTTAGTGGAAAACTGCTCTCTGACATTTTATCCCTTCTGTACTGGCACACTTCAGGCACCTAAGACCAGAACTGAGTCAGGAAAGATTGCATTTGCTGTCAATGCTGCAGTCTCGTGGAACAATCGGCAATATCAGTTAAAATGAGAACCCTCACAACTCTCTGTAATTTCAAGATAACTCTCAACAATCATTTTTTACCGGTTTGTCATTGCTTTCATTAATGCTTTTTTGTTTTTCTTTTTATATTTCGGTTTGTTTGTTTTTGTTTTTTTCTCTTCCTGTGACTTTACATTATAATCAGTATTGCTGTAAATGAACATATATGCTCAGTCAACCTACCCTGTATAAATAAATAAAGAAGAAGAAGAAAAGAAATTATCTTTAAATGCAACTGTAAAAGCAACAACATTTCCTGTACAGCTAAATTATTGGTAAAGCTTTGGCATTAATCAGATAAGCCTGACTCCCACCGAATAATGCAATTCACAACTTGTTGTTTAATGTTCACACCTTGTCAAAATACCATGCAAGTGACAATACCTTCTCTCCATCTATTTAAGTTGCCATATTTGGGAACATTGGATTCGCTGTGCCCATTTGTATTAACTTTATTGTAGCCTACTGTGACACCATCCTAACTTGTTATTGTGCATTCAGCTGCAATGAGAACTAAGCATTACACAATCACCCATAATCTCTAGAATCAGCAAACAACTAGCTGAAGACAGGACTATATAAAGACAGAAACAAAGCTCAAAGGCTCAAATTCATTTGCTCTAACACAGGCTTCCTCCCATCTGGTGCACCAGAAACCATCCTTCGACACTGAGCTGTGGGAAAGGCACTCAAATATGGAAACTAGTTACATGCATGCAGTTGCTTCATTACAAAATGGATTATCAGGATGAAGAATAAACAAATGCTCACAGTTAATCATGCAGATATTACACAGATAAGAGGTGACAGGCACTGTACAAACAAATGTCTGTGTGATGCTCTGATATGAGTATATATTTTAGTTACAGTATTTGTCTGTGAGAAACCTGTGCGTACGTGTGCACATGCACATAATGTCCTCCTCCAGTAGTCACCTTGGCTGCTATTTATCAGAAGCTTGTTATGGTTGTTATCACACAACCTTGCTGTGGGTAAGCTACTATAAGTTCAGCTTCATCACACCAACAATAGGTCTAATTTATCTCTACTTTATCAGAAACTTGATAACTATGAGTTGACACATGGAAATAACCTGAGAAACAGGATGTGGAGGGAGGTGATGAGGGGAGGAGAGGAGCCCTTTAAATGACAAGCAAAGTCACTTGCCCTTCAGCTTGAAGGTAAACTATGATACATTTACAATATATGAAACAATTAGTCTACAATGTGCAACTTCAGTGGATATTTCACTTGTTATGTGAAGGAACATTTTAATTCATCAGCAAGACAGATGTGGGTAATCTCAGAAATAGATGTCAGACTATTTTCTACTACTACTCTTTTCTAAAACAATCTGCACAGTGTAATAAAATAAATAAATTAGGTTAAAAGTCAGTGACACAAGGAATACAATCCTTTGTGACTGAGAACATGTCAACGACAGGAGACAAAGGACACATTCATTAAGCTCCTCAGGAAACGCACTGACTGAAGACCATCAGGTCACTGGGCGACCATATGAACTTTACTGTGGAATCTGGTAAAACTGATGCAGCAAAGAACAATAATGTCTTTTCATCACATGACTGTCAAGAAACATTTCATGTCAATCAACACTTTTTAATTGCATAACAGCAAAATGGTTTTCTACATGTACTGTATGTTCCCTTCAGCGGTGACGCTGTCTGATACATGGGTGTATGTTAAAGTCAGATCTATTTAGCTAATTGCAAAATGAGGAGAAAAGGACAACCAAACCCACTAGGCCAAATCACATAATGGTGTTTTCAAACATTCGCAGTGCAAGTTGGCACACATCATACGTGAAGTGACAACATGCGCTGTGGTTAACTGACAAGAGAAGCTTAAACTTGCTGGTAAACTTGACTATAACCACGTCTCAGAAGAACAGATTGCCTATAAGGACAATGTTTCAACAGAAATACAAGTGTGATGCCAGTCTCATTATTCCGACAGCCTGACATTATATATCATCAATTTAAATAGGCCACAATTTAAATATTGCATCATATGCAGCTCTTTTGATTTTCAAATGCTCAGAAATATGTTCTTGTCACTCTTTTGCATTTAATTACTGATGTTAGTGTGGTCAAAATCATCACTGAAGAACCGACTGACAGTCAGCTGACAAACTCTTTAGTCGGATACAGCCCTAGTCATCACAAATAGATTGTACATCTCTCAAGGAAGCTGTATCACAACAAGAAAACACTCAATTATTACATAAGCTCATCAAATCACAGTGCACGACTGTTATTCAGCATTTTTACATGACTGTCCAATTCATGAGTTGAGTGAATCATCAATCTCACCTTATTCCCTAGGACAGAGCTCAAAAGTGCTGCTTATGCTGATGCTAATGTGACTATGTTTAACAGAGCTTGGTGTTATAATTAACACCAAGCTATAACACACTATCAACAGGCTCATTAAGCTCTAGCTATGTCACTCTGGGGAAACAGTCAGCTATGATGCAAGCCACTTAGGGACCGGCCCGCTAGCTTCATGGTAAAGACATTTGTTCTGCAGACAGGCTGACATACACACAGGCGTTCACAGAACCATACATAGACAGCCAGAGCCTCACACCTACAACCACAAACTCTGTCTCGTTGTCTCTCTTCATCTGCCATTCTTGCTAAGGTGACGTGCCCCATCTGGAAGGAGAACAGCTTGAGCTGGTGCTTGAAGAAAAACACACATGTCACAGGCACACAGTCACACACAAACCCAAGCAGACACACACACACAAACATAAAAGCTATAAGGCACTTGCGCTGATGTACTGATGTGCTGATTACCACAGAAAGATTTGTTTTTTGTCTCACTCAGAGCTTACACTAAAACAGATGAACTTAAGAAAAAAAGGGTTATTACTGATGATTCATTAGTTTGTCTGAAGAGACAGAGATGGATAAACAAATTTCTTCAGTACATGCATGCACACACACACACACACACACACACACACACACACACACACACACACACACACACACACACACACACACACACACACACTCAGAGTGTGAGTTCTAATCTTCTTAAGCTTTATACTGTTGCTTTGACAACCTTATAAATGAGGTCACGTCCATAGAGAGAAAGCAATTTCTGTCCTGTTGGTCTCTTCAGGCTGTAGTGTGGTGATGTGGACTAGCAACTGTAAGAAA